TCAGTTGCTCCTATATAATTTATTTCTTCTGTGTTAATGTTACTTGATGCAGTTGCTTTATATATTATATTGGTTAGAGATTTATTAAGTGGGCAGTTGATTTTATTTCAACAATTACAATTATTGTTGGTATTTTGTGGGGTCTTGTCATTGTAATTGCTATTATTTTTGTTTAATATTTTTTTTATTATATTTATTATTTTCTCTATATTCATTCAACTATAACTGATTTTAATTGTATTTTTATTAATGATTTTTTTAATAGTTAACTATTTTTAGGAAGCGTTTTTCAAATAATTTAAAAAAATATTTTTCCTATTTTTGTTATAGGATATATATATATATATATATATATGTATGTGTGTGTGTGTGTGTGTGTGTTGGTCTTGAACCTTCTAACAATGTAATGCAATAAGTTTGATATTGAGACTGAGATAAGAGATCAGATTAAAAATTGGCATGAAGCACCACATATTTAACTGGAATTTAATCAGCAAAACGAATATTACAGGCCTGTCAAAATTATTATAGGAAAATCACTTTCTCCCAAAAATGCGACAAAGTCCAAAATATCTCCAGTTATGCAAGCATTTTCCCGAGTCTTAAAATAAGTTTTTTGGTTTTATATATTCTCAATCATTGCAATAAAGGCCAAAACTAAGTGATTACCTTCATACCTCAGATTAAGAAATCTCGATGCTACTGACAGACAAAAGTTTGATGATAAAAGATCTTCATAAGTTTTAGAACATACAAGTTTAATTCATCAGTTGTTTCTGGGCGTTTCTGAATACATTTGTACCTTGAATTTGGTGCAATCCAAAAATCCTGTTCATAACAGAACACCTGTTCACATGTCAAGGAAAATATCACAATTGTTCATTTGAAAGGTCAAGAACAGTTTTTCTGAGAGATGGTATGTTATATATTGCAACAATCATAAAAATTTACAATGCTAATTCCCCCCCCCCCCACAAAAAAAAAACAACAAACAAACAAGAGCATAGCTTTATTATATACTTATGAAGATCTTATATCATCAAACTTTTGTCTGTCAGTAGCATCAAGATTTCTTAATCTGAGGTAAAGCTATACTCTTAGTTTTTGTAACATGATTGAAATTTTTTCATAATGATAAATCACAATGCAAAAATTGAAGAGCTTGGGCCATTTTAAAAAGAAATCAGCCTACTATTATTGTATACACCATGCAAATAAACTATATGTTTACACAGTAAAATCAAAAATTGTGACAGGCACCAAAATAGAATTAAAATAAAACACAGAAATAACATAAAAAAGCATCATTATTAGAAGAATTTATTACAAAGAAGTCAATACACCTTTGCTGAGAGGAAACATAATTTAGAAAAATATGCAATTGTTCCACATTTCAATGTTTGGTTCTGTATTTCTCTTCATCAATGTTGGACAGATGCACTTCTGCTGCTATAATTCTGCACTTAGCAAATACAGAAATCAATGTATCAATGAAATTAGAAAAAAAAAAAAAAAATCTTGCATCCCAATACTGATAAGCAAAATTATTTTATTCCAAGTTCAAAATAGATTTTGCAAGTGTTCAGTTTGTACAGTGCTGATAATTATATACAAACATTTGTTCAAAGGTCAAAATAAAAATTATTCAGAAGCTGTTACACAAGTTTATTTGAATTTTTACTTAAGATAGACTTAATGAATTTCCTTATTTTCAATTTAGAAAGAACATGAAAATAGCTGTTAAACTGAGAACAAGCAGATGAGTAGGAAAATATTTCAGAAACGAAAGAATCAGTTGCATTTTTTTTTTATATGCTAAATCAAAAAAAATTTATGATTGAGTGAAAAAATAAAATTCAAATTTTTCATGTTTTGTTGAAATTTCACAATTTAGTGGAAATAAATAACTTCTATAACAGTTTATTAAAATACAGCTGTCAGGTTCTCTAAGCATATGATCACTAAGAGAAAGACAGTTGAAAATGTTTTGTCACATGTGCATAAATACAATTCATTTAAATAACATTAACATATTCATTTTTTTTTAAAACAAGGTTTAATATTCTTTTGCTAAACTAGATGGTGTATGTATATAAATTGCAATATTTTGTAGTTAGTGATTACAACCTGGTTAAAAAGAATTCTACATTCTTGTGCATTTTATTACATGGAAATAAAACAATTCCATTTTTTTTTTTTTAGCTTTTATATTGGGAGCAAACTTGAAGGTTAGAATATCTGAATATTACATTTCAAACATCCCACATTTTAAAACTTCAAATACTGAAATGAATAAAGACTGCAGAAAAATTAATTTTTCCAGTAGCATTACTCAAATTTGCATTTGACACTAACAGTTACAAAAACAATTCTCTTCAAAATGACATTTTCATTTTAAAACAAATAAAAACTATTGCAAAAAAATTAAAACTATTCATAAATTTGAGAAATATTGATATCAAGTGCAACAGTGATATCCTTATTTTCAGATTAATTTAAAAAAAAAAAAAAAAACAGCAGTGTGTGTGTGTGTGTGTATGTATGTGTGTATATATATATATATATATATATATATATATATATATATATTTCTCATGTTTAAAATAGGAAGCAAGTATCAGGATTTGAGAGCAGAGTTCTTTGTTTCTCCTCTAGTACTTTGTTATCAACCATTTCAGAGTAGTATATTTATTCATGATTTGTCTGCTACCTGATGTTGACAAGATATATTTTGTGGTGCTGTATCATCATTGATACCTAACCAATATGAAGTGAAGTAACCTGCTACCATATTACTTCTTTAGAAGCAGTAAAGGGACAGACAAATTCTACTCATTGCACTTCAAATTAAACCTCATCCATACCTTTTAATATAACTTCACCTACCTAATGTGGTAAAAAAGAAATACTTAAGATGAACCTTTAATAAGATAGCCTGTAGTTACTAATAACAGATAATCCAAGACAAATACAGACTGCAAGTTAGTGGTTAAAATGGTGAATTTTTTTTTAGTGCCATTACTAAATAGCAACACGGTGGTGACCTATTTTCAGTAGCATGCTTCAATGAAATCAATTTAAAATGAAGGTGAACATAATTTAAAAGTAATCTTTATAATTAATAATTAGCTTTTGGTTTTAACTTAATTTACAAAATATTAAAACTTGAGAATGAAATAAATTGAGAAGTTTTCTTGAGTAGGGGAGCAAATATTAAAAAATAGTTTAATAATAATTGGTAACATTTGATAAACAGTCAGGCAGGGTACATAATTCGTATATATATATATATATATATATATATATCTCAATAATTGAGGTAAATTTAAAATATGCTAATTGATATCTGAAGTATTTTAGAAATAGTTATATTTTAATTAAGAATTTGATTAGTTATATAATCTTAACCAAACTAGCTGAATTTTATGAGTGTGACTAAACTTTAATAAAAAAGACAGTGAATTAAAAGCAACAATTACATTAGACGACATGCTTCTAAACCTAGAGAAAAACATGTTTTGACATCAGAATAAAATGAAAATCAAATAAATTTAAACAACCAGTTATCTATCTGATTGAAAGCAGTAAATAAGTCCTTTTGAAGTTTACCATATAACTTTATTTTGTATCAGATTTTAAGCTGACATAGATATAGTGGATGAAAATACAGTTTCAGAATTATTTTTTATTTTTTTTTATTATGATTAAGAGTAGATGTATTTTTTCCAAATTTGATTCTGATGGTATGACAGTTTCTCACTCACACATTCACATGTTCAGTACTATGATGAAGCATTAACAATAATGAGAAATGGCAAATACTTTTATATCAAAACTAAAATTTGTTTTTCGTGCATGGTTTAATTATGGTTACTGATCTTATGTCCAGTTCTCTTTCCCATTAGTATCATGCAAATATTAACAGAATAAAGTACATATGAAACTAAATATAATAAATATAAAGGAAAATAACAAAAATTTCAAATTCTGCATAAATAAAAACTTACAAATTTGTAAATAATAAAAATAAAGTAATTAAAAACATTTATTGATAAGCAATAAAGTTTTATACACATTAAAAGTTAATTGTTCAAATATGTAAGCATATACTAGTTTAAATTTTCCTGATATATACAGAAAAAGCTAGAGATTTTGTTTTTAATTAAAAAAAAGTTGTTTACAAAGAATTTATTAGTGTTCTTAAAGCTTTCTTGTAATCTAATGGAAATAAATAGTAGTGTACTATTTCAACAAAAGTTGAACTGTTTCAATACATAAAAAGCTATTAAGAAAAAAAAAAAAAATCAGTTAAATTCATTGATCTATTTCAGTACCCACATTTGCTCTAGATTGATACAAGAGATAATTTAGATAAAAGTCATCCCTTCATGAGCTGCCATAAAAATGTATATATGAATTATTGAATGGTTGCTTTCAACATTAATCAAAGCAATGCATTCAATGTGTTTGAATTAAATACAAACAAAGCAAAGTGTATTTATGGCTCCCGATACCAATATTTAAAAAAATAAAAAAAAAATAAAAAGAAAAAAAAAAAAAAAAGAAAGAAATAAAGGAAAACCTTAATTCTAATCATCCAAATAATGTTTGTCATTAACTGGTTTCATAGAAATTCAATTTAAAAAAAAAAAATACTATAATCAGAAAAGTCATGTATAAAAAAAAAAAAAAAAAAAAAAAAAATTAATTTAAAATAATCTAATAGTTCATACAAAGTGAACACTACCGGTAATAGAGAAAGTTAGCTTCCAGTAATACAAGTAGTTTTATAGCTAAAATGTTTACAAACACAAAGATTGAGAAATTATAATAAATGCCACTGATTAGACTCTTGCCAAACTTTTTACAGTTGAATGTCCCCAAACTGTGCAGCAGCAGAACTCCTACCATGACCTGGCCACTCCATTTCTGTAATTTCACATTTTAATTTGCTGATATAGAAGAACAGGCCAAATTACATGAGTTAATAGAGAACAATCCTACTTGTTTTTTAATTCAGCTCGCACACGTTTTGTTACCCGACCACACGTAAGGCCAGCAATGAAAATGAAGCCAATGAGTGTTATAATGACACCCAAGAAATAGTATTTAGCTGGTGAGCTATGCATCTCTGTGATAATTTCTTTAAAACTTTCAGCAGGAGCAACCTAAAAATAAAAATAAAATAAAATTCTAAAACAAATTAGCATTTTCTTATATAATTGTTCATTAAGTTTTTTCATTTAACAAAAATGTAGTGAATTTTTAAGCAGCCACAGCTCCTGAACTATAATTTAAAACAAATTATGTTACTGTAAATTCTATTTAATTATACAATGACAAATGTAAATTGTGAAAGTCTCTAGGACAAAGGTACACAAAAGGGGAGAAAATTTCAATGTTGGTTTAAAGCAGATATTAGTATACCATTATTTTTAAATCAGTAGTCATTTAAGATGAAGTAAATTTTTAGTAGGCACTTAATTCACATTACAATCAGTTTGTATTTAATCCAGATTGATTATTAAAAAAAAAAAAAACTAGTATAAAAACTTTCTGCATAATTAAGGAGACCATTTTTTTGTTATAATAAATTTTTTTTTTTTTTTTTTAATAGGGGTTATTTATTTTATTAAGATTGTTTAGCAGTATGCTTTTAATTATTTTGTCCCAACTGTCAGCTTTAATCATTCATCATGGCTATTGTTTTATTTTTAGTTCTTTTACTTATGCACACTCATGTTTGTCCATTAAAAAAAACTAATAAAAATTTAATGTTAAAAAGTATCGAGTTTTCCTTTTGATAATAACTTATATTTGTTGTTGGAAATGTACCATAATTTTTTTCTAATTTTTGGGATTTGGTTATTAGATTGAAAATGAAAATAAAACAAGTATAAATACATATTTTTAGCTTTGTGCACATCACTAAAAAAACTGATATGTAAATTAAAAATTTAGTCAGTTTCCTTTTTTTTTTTTATGATCATTTATTTACTAATTTTCAAGATTAAGTCCTATGTGGAAGTTAAATGGAAAAGTTTATTATCATTACCTTAAAGAATTAAACTGGATTACATTTTACATTTCTTTACCTTATTGGTTCTTTAGGCATATTGGTTTGTAAAAACTTTTTTTTTTCTTAGAACTTTATGGAAGATAAGCATGACATTTTTTTTAGTGTTTGTGTGTGGGGGAGGGGGGTCTCCCCCCCCTTAAAAAGATGTATTAATGCTTTCCGTGCCCGAGAACCCTATGATGGTTTTTGTTAAATTTTACTTTTCTCTTCTGTTCTGTGGATGATGAACTCAATGCCCTGAGAGTTTTCTTTTAAGTGGCAAATACATTGTAAGGAATACCTTGCAATGTATGATAAGGTTGTGATACAGTTAAAAACTGCATGTGATGAAGGAAATAGACATTACAGTAATGTAACTTATAATGGAACACTACATTTGATGAGTGGCTTGGAAATAGTGGGTTATTGGTTTGCCAGTAACACACTTGGACAGCAATCTGAATGGATTGGTTTTGGTTTATTTTGTTTTATGGCATATCAACCTCAAAGGGTTATTTAATGCCGACATTTTTAGGATAGATTTGTATGAATAGAATATGTATTCTTTGGTTTAGATTGGTTTCGTTTGTTTTGTTTTACAGCATATCAACCTCAATGAGTTATTTAATGCCAACAACATTTTTTATTGCTTGTAATATTTTGTTTTGTGAAAAATCTGTTTCTGGTAACATTTTTTCTTCAAAATTGTATTGCCGGTAATAGTTAACTATTTGCCCATAGCTGGGACCCTACAAGTGCTACCACCCCGGGTCAGGGTGGACCTGGGAACACCAGCAATTAAGATGTGGTTCCACACTCCTCAAAACCTCCTGATCAGAGGCCTTGCTACTGGACGTAGTTTATCGTCTTACCCAGGACAGCAATCTGAATGGAGTTCTAGTGTTGGTTCTGTCAACAAGGTGAGGTCTCATCAGTTTTGAGTTCAACCTCTGTAGCCTTCATGATTTTAAGGACTATGAGGAAAACACTTAGATAGGTGAGAACACAAAGGTTTAAGGGGGACAGTAAAAACACAAAAAAAAATCTCTCATTCTTGTTAAGAAATACTTTTTGTCAAAGTTTCTTTTTTTTTTTTATGATACAAGAATTATACATTTTTATTTACAGGCTTTCGTTTGGTTCTGAAAGTTCTTTCTTGACAATGGATCAGTCAAGAGGTAGCGGCTTAGAAGCAATGAAAGACATATCTGAAGGTTCTCTATTAGTTTCAAGACCAAGAAGAAAAGCTCAGCTGGAAGCTTGTCTCTATGACTGCTTGATGACAGAAAAACCAGTTGATTTTCTGAAGCAACAAATGAAGGCAGAAAAGGTACTCAGTGAATCTGAGCATTCAAACAACTATAGTGGTTGTGATAAAGATGAGTTTCAGTTATAAGTGCCTAAGTCAATAGGTTGCAGTATACTATGGTTCCAACTTCTACATTCAAGTCATTCAAATCTTTATCTAGCAGTGCAATCAGGTTTCTAGCATCAAAGGCAGAAATTAATTCTTATTTCTGATGGATTTTGCTAGATGGGACTGATTTAACACCACATTTATGTATTCCAGTGATGGTAGGATATGGTTTGTTCCAGGAATATTGGCTATAGCAGAGGCTTATAAGCAAATTCAAACTGCAAATCACCATTAGAAGAGGATGTGCAGGAAAACCATTTAAATTTTTTTTTTTTTTAAACATCAGTTCCAATAAATGTTTTTGCTCATTTAATTTTTTATTTTGAAAAAGGATTTTAAAGCTTTCAAACAAGGATTTGCTTGAAAGATTGACCAATGATACCTTTCATAAAACGAATTTGTAAGTTTTGTAGTCCTTTTCAAAAATCGTATAATTTCAGAGAATCTTCTGAAATTCAATTCATAAATGACAAAAAGTATTATTATTAGAGAAAATAACTCATTTAATCCCTTAGTATTAGTATTATTAATTAGTATGGTTTCAGAAATGTGCCTCCAATGGATATTTTTATGACAAGCTCAGGTTGGTATATATTTTTTGCTCTATGAAATTGTACTTCTGGCCGTTTTTACATGATGTGAATATGAGTTTTTATATTGATGTACTACTGGAAAAAAAAAAAAAAATTAACTTCATTCCTATTGTGCTATGAATCATGTTGCAAGGCATTATCTGATGAAATTTAGGAACACAATTTCCACCAATGTTTGGGCTGGACAGATCTAATAATTATTAATCACATTGATCATATCTTTCTTTTTACTTCAAGACGATCTATATGACATTACATTTATGATTTTTCACTTGTTTGAAACCTACATCTTCATATATACATTGTTGAAATTAACTTATGTAGCAATAGCACATGAGAAGGAAAATTTTCTGATGAAATTTGAATGGTCATTTTTCGGTTGCTAATTGAGCTGCCACAAAATTTGGTACGACATTTATGTTTTATCAGGTTCCCTATGTATTAAAAGCTTTTAGATATATTGAAAATAAAATTTTAGTTTAGTATACCTATTAAAATCTGCCATTTCAGACATTAATAATAATAGTTTATTATTTAATACATTATTTTAAAAAAAAAAAAAAAAAATTATTTCTTACATTTGCCGCATATTCCCACATTTCTTTTCTTTGTAGTAGGCGTTTACTACATTCTGGTGTTAATCTTCTATTTGAGTCCAATGCAGACAGTAAACAAGCCATTTCTGGAAAAAAAAATATTCAAAATTGGATGTGTGAAACATGCATATATTTTTCCAAGTTATATACTAAAACTAAAAATAATTACTTATTTGAATATAGTTATTAAAAATTTTTTTTTTGCACAAAGCTTAATTTGTACCTTAAAATAAAGAAGATGCCTACCCCTATATTGGCATTAGAAATTATAAAGCAATTTTAATTTTTAAAAGCAGGACATTAAAATAATCAAATAATTGTTATTATTTTATAAAACAATACATTTTTCAGGGTATTGAGGGTGCATGAAGCTAAATTTTGTTTTTAGATTACGACTTGTTAATTTTTTAAGCTCTAAATTTGATAGTCGATGTTAATGATAGTCGATGTTAATGATAGTCGATGTTAATGATAGTCGATGTTAATGATAGTCGATGTTAATGATAGTCGATGTTAATGATAGTCGATGTTAATGATAGTCGATGTTAATGATAGTCGATGTTAATGATAGTCGATGTTAATGATAGTCGATGTTAATGATAGTCGATGTTAATGATAGTCGATGTTAATGATAGTCGATGTTAATGATAGTCGATGTTAATGATAGTCGATGTTAATGATAGTCGATGTTAATGATAGTCATGTTAATGATAGTCGATGTTAATGATAGTCGATGTTAATGATAGTCGATGTTAATGATAGTCGATGTTAATCCATGTTAATGATAGTCGGCGTTAATGATAGTCGGTGTTAATGATAGTCGATGTTAATGATAGTCGATGTTAATGATAGTTAATGATAGTCGATGTTAATGATAGTCGGCGTTAATGTTAATGATAGTCGATGTTAATGATAGTCGATGTTAATGATAATGATAGTCGGCGTTAATGATAGTCGATGTTAATGATAGTCGATGTTAATGATAGTCGATGTTAATGATAGTCGATGTTAATGATAGTCGATGTTAATGATAGTCGATGTTAATGATAGTCGATGTTAATGATAGTCCATGTTAATGATAGTCGATGTTAATGATAGTCGATGTTAATGATAGTCGATGTTAATGATAGTCGATGTTAATGATAGTGTTAACGATTAATGATAGTCGATGTTAATGATAGTCGATGTTAATGATAGTCGATGTTAATGATAGTTGTTAATGATGTTAATGATAGTCGATGTTAATGATAGTCGATGTTAATGATAGTCGATGTTAATGATAGTCGATGTTAATGATAGTCGGCATGTTAATGATAGTGATAGTCGATGTTAATGATAGTCGTTGTTAATGATAGTCGATGTTAATGATAGTCGATGTTAATGATAGTCGATGTTAATGATAGTCGATGTTAATGATAGTTAATGATAGTCGATGTTAATGATAGTGGATGTTAATGATAGTCGATGTTAATGATAGTCCATGTTAATGATAGTTATGTTAATGATAGTCGATGTTAATGATAGTCGATGTTAATGATAGTCGATGTTAATGATAGTCGATGTTAATGATAGTCGATGTTAATGATAGTCGATGTTAATGATAGTCGATGTTAATGTTAATGATAGTCGATGTTAATGATAGTCGATGTTAATGATAGTCGATGTTAATGATAGTCGATGTTAATGATAGTCGATGTTAATGATAGTCGATGTTAATGATAGTCGATGTTAATGATAGTCGATGTTAATGATAGTCGATGTTAATGATAGTCGATGTTAATGATATAGTTTGAATTTTTTTCATTGCAGATAAAGAAAAGCAATATTTCAGAAATAAAAAATGCATATTTCACAAGACATTCATAAAAATTAATGTTGGGGAATGATTGGGGGGAATGATTGCGAAAGTTTTTCTCCCTCCTCCCTTTCATAGCCAGAAGGACACAGAATGCATGCTGGTATATTTTTCTTAGTCAATAAAATAAGACGGCCTGCGTTTTGACATGGCTTAGTCCAGATCTGCCTTAACTACTAGACAGACATACTGTGTTCACTTGGTAGACCTTGCTTTTGTGTACAAACACCATCTCCTAGTTTGTGAATTCTTTTGTGTCTTATCAATTTTGATTTGCTTTAACTATATTGTTTGCATGATTGTTGCAGTTTCATCTTTTTTAACCAGTTATCTTTTCATTGCAAACTTTATTAATTCTGTTCATGTTATTTATCTTGAATTTTAACAATGGCTTCTAACTCATCAATTAAATATACTTTAACCAATTTCTATTTACTGACCCACATAGTACATAAACAGTTAAATAATAAAAAAAAAAAAAAAAGCACTTACGCTGTCCCATTCCTGGTAATACGTTTTCACAATAAACTTGTAGATCCTTTTTACAAGCTGTATGTAAAACTGGATCAACATGTATATCAGCTGAACCTTCATAGACTATTCGAGCAATTTCCTGTCAAAATAAAACCCAAGAAGCTTTCATGAATCCTGAACAAGAACAAGGATTACTTCATTATGAATAAATAAAGACAGTGGACACATTAATCTACCATAAATATACATCCTTCTCCAAATTCACAAAGACAGCATACCACTGAAGCCCATAGTCAATTGTTGAACCTCAACCTCTGACCCAATGATCAAATACCTCATATGAATATAATCAACTAACAGAACTGACCACACTGTGGAAACCACCAGAAAAGCTCCAATTCATACTAACCAGATGGTCAGGTCAGATTCTTTGAACTAAGGTTCCAACAGATGATGTTTCAAGAGAAATTAAAATTGAACCCAACTCTAACATGTAAGTTTTAAAAAAGTAACAGAAATGTTAAACAACTATAAAAACAAATTTACTGTATATATAAGAGTACTTTTTTTTTTTTTTTTTTCACATTTTGGTACTTAAATAATGCTTACTTTAAATAACACTGATGGATTTAAGTTAATTTTTTTTGTACAGAACTTGCATTTACTCTGACTTTTTTAAAATCCAAGATAGCATCCATAAACACATTTGCATGATATATGAAAAGAATACATTCTAAGCAGTACTTGAAACAATCATGTAACCTGTCATAGAAATGGGGTTTTCAGTGAAGGTAATCGTCATGAATTTTCCTAATTCTAAGTTTCTAATTAGAATTGAAATTTCTGCCTTAGGTTTTTTTAGTTTTTTGTTTAAATGGATATTTAAATTTTACATTCTTTTCCATTTAACATCTAAAGCATTGTACTTTTAATTTGTTAATGAATTTTTAATTTTCTCAAAAAACAAATTCTGGCAAATTATGTAAATATTCATATAAAAACAGCCAAGTTAAAAACCATGACTTGCTAAAACAACAACTGGCATGAGTGGGAAGTAAACAAAATACCACCTCCACTCAGCTACCAACATAGTAATGTCAATTTTAAAATTAAATTTAATATGTCTAAATTTGCAGTGCTTATACTGTTTATTTAAGAAATAGATAAATTCATGCAATTGTTTTCAAACATTATTCAAACCAAGAAACCATTTAAATATCACTGACTGAAAAAGAAATTTTCAATAATAGTCAAATGGTAAAAATTTACAAAAAAAAAAAAAAAAAAAAAAAAAAAAAAAAATACTTTATACTATATAATAATAAAAAGATGCAATGGTTTTTTTTAATTAAGAGAGAAATTAACTATAAATCACTTAATTATTTGTGTTCAATCTAAATTAAAATAGATTTTCTTTTTTATTTGATGAAAAATGCAAGTGGTGTTAACAAATACATTTTTAAAGTTAAATTTCAGAATTTATATTTAAAAAGTTTATGTAGTAGTAACATTTATAGAAAAAACCCAATTCCATTTAAATATTCTGAAACATTTTTGTTCAGATGCAATACATACAATGTTCAATAGGGAACTTAAAATAGATTTACAGTTGCAGTAATGTCCATAAAAATTGTGACATTATCTAAATAAAAAAAATAAATAAAAACTTACCTTAATACATTGTTTATTTTTTATTAAACCTTTTTGCAACTTTTTCTTTAAGCATTCAGAAACATGTCCTTTTCCATCATCTTCAACTTCATATGGTTCATTTTCTCTCTTACTGGAATCTAAAGTTTCTTCAAGACAGAACTGCTTGATCTGAAATTCAACAAATCAAAATTTTTTTTTTTTTTTTTAATCATTTCACTCCAAGCAAGATGATAATGTCACTAGTGTTGTATACCCCTTCCCCATGCTAGGAGGTCCTGTTTTTGGTTGATGGGGTCGATTCCATAATGAAGCTGCATTCTTTTCTCTCAGCTGTCTTCTCCCGGTCAGTTGATTGCTAGGTGTTATTTTCATTTGGAGGTAAAAAAAGGGATTTTAAACTTATCTATTTTTTTAACAGGTTGATGTGTACATTTTTAACTAGCCAGTGTGACTGATAGAGCAGCCCCACTGGGGAGCAGTTCCCAGAGACACAAAGTAACCACATTGGATCTCTTCAATGTGTAAAACTTAACTCACTGAAATAACTTTCCATCCCTCTAATCTTCCCACGCTAGTTGTAACCAATCAAAAAGGACTGCCTTTGTTTTGTCTACCATCTGACCTCAAAGGTCAAAATGAGGAAGTCAGAGGAAAATAAAATTCTTTAGACTGTTATTTAACATTCTGTTAGTCTCTGCTAGACTGTTATTTAACATTCTTTACCTAACCATCAAAAAAATTAATTTATGAATTTTATTTTAACTATATTATATTTAACACTAGGTTACAGGGAGTTACAAGAGAAGGAGAAAACTTTAGTGAGGAAATGTAAGGAAAAGTACAATAACAGGGTCTGTCTATATTTCTGACATGAGGTATTATGTACATTATTTACATTATTTGGACTATTGTCCTCATCTTTGTCGCCATATTTATCACGTTTCGGACGTTGTACGCTCCGACCTTCTTCAGGTGGTTGGAATGTCGAACTGAACCCTTTATTTCGCTCACTGGTTCCATGTGCCATGTTAGATGGATGTCAGCTATCAGTTATCTCCTGTTAATTTTCCCTCTGAAAGTTCTCCACTGCCTTAACCGGGTATTGAACTCACTCTCTTTGGGTCTTGTCACTGGATCTAACCAATGCCTTTATCCACTGTGCCATGTGTCCTTGAACGTCCAAGAAAGTTTCATAGAAAATATGTCCCCTCCAGTAAATGTTGTTAATACTGTTTATTATAAACAGAGCATTTACTTAAATATTTGTGCCTATATAAATAACGTATAACAATAAAATATATTAAAATAATTGTTAGACTTTGTCCATTTCATAGTGTGTGACATCAATTGTCTACATTTAGATATGCTTTGAGCAGATGATCGTTCGAAGGAAATCATGGAAAATTGTAGTTTAAAAACAGCAAAATAAACCTTGCTAACAAGATGCTCCTCTGTAGCTAAACTGGTATAGCATGTCAGGATATATGATGGTTCCATGTAGGATACAGGTTTGATTCCTGCCTGGACACATTTTCTATGAAAATTTCTGACATTCAGGCCAATAAATGTTGTTAATACTGTTTATTATAAATAGAGCATTTATTTAAATATGTGTCTATATAAATAACGTATAACAATTTATATATATATATATATATATATATATATTTTTTTACTCTGTCCTGGACATAGAGTTCTACCTGGATTCTATCCTCTTGGATATATATATATATATATATATATATATATATATATCTCATATATATAAGCTATCTACACATTTAATTAATCCTAACAGACCTGAAATCAAAAAAATTAGCAAAACCATCTTGGAAAATACTAACCAGCCTATTAAATGTAACCTTGGACTCTTGCAGTGGGTTAATACTGTAGACATTGACTTGTGTGTGTGCATGCATATGTTTGTGTATATGTGGGTACATATGTGGGTGTTTTATTTGTATGTTTGTACGTGCATTTTGTTTGCATATGTGACTTTGGTTGTTCATATTTATGTATACGTGTGTATATGTATATATGCTTTTTTTCCTTTCCTTTGTCTTTAGCCCGATATGTGTATTTAAACTATGTATACATCATATATATGCATGTATATGAACTTCTTACTTTTATTTGATCCTCTTTTTATCTATATGTTTGTTTGTGTAAGTAAAATATTGATGGTTGGTTTGTGTAGATTTATTAGTGCATTTATGCTTGAATTTTGGTGAGTAATTATTCGTATATTTGTATGTGTGCGTGATTGCTTTTATATGCTTTTACCTGTACATATGTACATCTGACAATTTTCTTTTGCATGTTTTTATTTTATTCTTTATTTATTTTTTATTTTTTTAATTTTTCCTTCCTTTATTTCCTATGTGAATATATGTCCTTGTATTTGCATGCTCATATATTTGCTTATATATACGTGCTTGTGTTTTATGATATGAATGTGTGTCCTGTCATTTGAAAATTCCCTTCCTTATCTACCTCCTTATTTGAATTCTGACTTCCATGTATCAAATATGTTTAGCAATCAGAGATACTTTTTTCATCAGTGTCAAACTTAACTGATGAATTGGCACTTTGCTAAGAATAATAAAATATATTTTTTTCCTAGTTTCATTTATGAATAATCTTGAAATAATATTAAACTTGATGCTTGGTTAACTTTAGAATTTGACTTTTGAAATTTTTAATTTAACTGTTAACTTAAATTTAATTTCTAATTTAATCTAATCTTAACTTTAATGCACTAATAGATTGTACTTATACTAAAGTATATTGTCATGTTATTTTAAATTACCATATACTTGTATTCTGATTGGTCATCATAAAACTTCCCCTATTAAGAGGGTTTAGTAGATTTTTGAACTCTTAAAACCGTTTATTTTTCATTCAACATCATCACTTGATAGGATACCAAAAGTGTCGAAACAAAATTGCAACTTTTGTACTGATCTTATAACATGCATATGTTATAAATTTGTGTGTGTGTGTGTGTATATATCATCCAAAGACAGACTGTTTTGCTATATCACAGCTCATCAGTGTGGCTAGATGTCCGGTTGCTCTAGCTAAGATTGAAATCTATACATGCAATATGCTTGGAGATATGAATGCCAGAAGTTTGTTGGAAGTCTGATTTAGCAAAATGCAAAAAAAGCAGTGAAATTTCAAGATCCTCCGAGTCTAAAACTATTAGACAAATGTAATATTTGGGATTTATCAATATATTTGATCAAGGAACGCCTATGAAATTTACCAAATTTTTCTGAAATGATCACCTGTTGATTTGAGATGGAATGACCCACATATATAGTAGAAACTTACAAATATCAAATAACACCAAAAAGAACAATCTGTTAAAGCATTTAAAAAAATGTGTGAGCATGCAACCATAATATGGGTTTTGTATGGAAAATGCAACTTCAACTTAGGCCAATGCAGTGAAATACTGAAAGAACTTTATTTCTAACCAGACTACAAAATATATCAAATACAACAAATCAATTTAAATTTTGTTTTCATGTATTTCAAAAAAAGAGGAAAAGGAGAAAATGTTAAAACTGAAGACCTTACCTCTTGATGACATGCTTTGGCAAGTATAGGATCTTGTTGGTAATCCAATGCAGCTTCTTTTATTATTTCTTCAATTTCATATTCACAATTTTTTGACAACATCTATATATATATATAAAAAAAAAAAAAAAAAGGAAATTTCTTGAAAGAATCACTAATACTAAATTCAAACTGTATCTTTCTTTAAATGTATGTTAACTATGTTTTGTGAAAGTATGTGATGTGTGTGTGTGTGTATATATATATGGTGGACTCTTCTCCCATCATATTCGACGTATGAGCATCAGCAACTCAGTTCCTATGAACTGATAGCCTGACACCAGCACATGAAGGGCTAAATACAGACCTGGTGCACTACGTGCCACAAGGTCCCCAAACGACCCCCCCACAGGTTTTGAATTCAGAGTTGTCCTTCTCCTAGACTAGTTGCAATCCAAGGCTATAGAACCCAGTCTCTCTTGCTAATTACCCATAGTTGTAGGGAGAAGAGGATTCATACCTTTCCCAAGGGTATTAGCACATAATTGAATGTAATGGATTTGACTGGAATTTGAACTTGTCTCTCAAGCCCTCAGTCCACCGTGCCTCATATATATATATATATATATATATATATATATATATATATATATATATATATATATATATATATATATATATATATACATACACACACAGTTTATGAATGTTTGAAAAATTTCAGGCTGGTAAGTGTAATTAATAGTACTTAATTAAAAAACAGCATTGACTTAAATAAGTTATATCTATAAAAATAATGTATAAACAGAAAAATATATTAAACAGTTGTTGAACTTAATCGATTTCATAATGTTTTTATTGTTTACATTAAAATATGTTTTGTGAGCGGAAATGATTCAGAAAAATTGAAGGTGTGTGTTTATAAACAGTAAATCAGACTTTGCTAACCAGATGCTTCTCTGTGGCCAAATGGTTGTTAATCAGATCAAATAACAGTTCCCATTAGAGTTACAGATTTGATTATTGTTGGAAAGCACATATTTTAGGAAATTTCTCAACCATTCAAGCCAGTAAATGTAATTAATATGGTTTAATTAAAAACAAACCATTTAGTTAAATTATATCTATACAAAAAAAAAAAAAAAAAAAAAAAAAAAAAACATTATATATATATATATATATATATATATATATATATATATATTCAGATGCACAAAACAAAAAATGTAATAGCTTTGATGACATGTCAGAAGTTGCTTGACAAGTGATTTCCAGTAAACAATTTGCAAGATTTCTGAGAAGCATCAGAAGTGTCCCAATTTCTTTCTTTCAGCATGATAAACCTGATACAAACCAATAGAGTTGAGGAACTCACTTGGATTTTGAGCAGATTCCAAAATGCACAAAACTCTGTCAAATGTTTTGTATAGCTGAACCTTGAGGAATTTGTTGCAACAGCTTTGAGTTTATTTTTTTGATAGCATCATTCTTTGGAACAAGAATGTCTTGCTCACAGAGCCATCAATTTAGCTCCAGGAATGTCATTTTCTGCAATTCATAAAACCTTTATTTCTATTTGGTGACCTTTGAACTCAGTCCCTTTTATGCTATCATTTACAAGGTAAAAATCATCTTTGTATTTTATAGAAAACTCAATATTTTAGTTCAATTGCCTCGGAAAGAAATGGTATGCCATGCTCTGATGACGACAAATGACATCCACGCCATTTTTACATAGCTGATAATTATTGTTTGATGCCTTCATTTATTCTTGCAAAATGCTAGGACTTAAGAGTTTCCATTTCACAGTAATATTCAAACACAAGGTCTAGCACATTACTGTTTGTGTGTGTGTGTTGGTCATTTTCTCAGATTTGGATAGGTAGGCTGAGTCAAGAACTACAGCAGCCACTCATACACAATGTAGTTACATAAGTATAAAACATGTCAATGTACAGTTAACATGTGTGTGTGTGTATATATATATATATATATATATATATACACACACACACACACACACAATGAAAAAAACCATACTTCTAGGTAATCAATATTCAGCTGTTATGTTTCAAATTTTTCTTTATTTACATAAGCATTAAAATCTTAATATGCCAATGTTTACTTTATCAAATACCAATTCTAAAACAGGTTTTCAGTTATTTACACCCTTCAGTTAAAATTGACTGATAGACAACTTATATATATATATATACACACACACACACACACACACACAAAAATAAAATTCTTCTAATGTTCATTTTAATAAGTTATTTAAATATAAATAACAACCCTTTGTGTGTATGTAGATATTAAATGATTATAAAAGTTGCTTTAAAAAGCTGAATCTGAACATACAAAATATATTTGGCTATAGTAAAAGAGAGCAAAGATTGTAGTTGGATTAACATGAAAAGAATTACATAAAAAAGTGTTAAATATGGTTATTAATCAACCAGAATACTTATTTCTGATTAGGTGATAACAAAAACTAAAGTTTTTTGCATGCTTTTAATTTTATATTACAAGCATGAAAATAAAAAAAAACAACATTCTGAAATGCATAATTAACATTAAATATTTGCTATGTAGATTATGATTTTTGTTTTTTTGGTTTCAGTTTTGAAAAAAACTTACCCGTCGTACAAATTGTTTTTTCAAGCAGTTAATTACTTTTCCTTCCAATTCTTCATCTTGCTTTGAATTATGCACAATTTCTGAACAAAATTTAGGAATGTCCATTTGGCAAGATTTCTTCAACTGAGGATTTAGACGAAAATCTGAAACACAAGACATTAATATTTGTATACTTACAATAAAAATTTCAATATTAACAGACTGATTTATTTAAAATAGCCATGTTGAAAAAATACATTTGTAATGCAAGTATACAATTTAAGTTTTGCAACTAATTTTTATTAACTTACAGTAGTCAAACATTTAAAAAGTAGTTTTGGCTGGAAACAATTTAATGAATTTTATGTATATTCTGCAAGAAATAATTGAGCAGCTGACTTGCTGTTAATGTTAATTATGGATTTCTATATATTGCATATGTATGTGTGAAAATTGAGAAATGTAAGCAGTCAATTTCTGATACCTCCTGAGATGAAACTCTGGAGTTAGGATGCTGAAGGTAACATCCCAACTCCAGAGTTTCATCTCAGGTGGTATCAGAAATTCCTTATATTTTGTTGTGTGTTAATTATAAATTGTATTGATGTGTTTTTTTGAGTGTCACCGTGATATGCCTACATATGATTCTTCCCCCTCCCCACCCCCTCCTTTACAGTTTGTCTTCTTTCCTTCCTTTTCCTGTCTAAAGACTAAGAGGTCAAATTGTCTGGCCTCTTGAATGAGTACACTTGAGCCTATGTAACTTATTGAAAGATAGATTTAGACACAACCTTATCTCTACCTTCCATTTCTAATTTAGATCATTCTATGTCCTCCCACTTCCATGTCACCTTATATCAATCTAAAACTATCCCCCAAAAACTTGTATTAAAAATAAAAGAAACCAAATTCCTTTGTAACTAGAGATGTGACCTGATGAACCAGGAAAAATATATTTTCTGGGGAAATAAATTAAAGTCATGGAACTTTAGGTTGTCTCTTTAATTTAATATATATAAATATATTAATATATGTGAAAAGTGTGTGTGTGTGTGTGTGTGTGTGTGTGTGTGTGTGTGTGTGTGTGTATATATATATATATATATATATATATATATATATGCAGTACTTATTAAAAGCAAGTGTGTATGTGTGTGTGTCTGTGTACCTCATTGGGTGTACGGACATGCATCTATGTTTGTGTTAGCATGAGCGACATCACGACGACGATCTCCCCCCACTCCCATAATAACACCAATACATGCAATCTACATAAACCCAAAATTTTAAAAAAATTAATCAGTTTGACAATCGCAAAAGCGTGAAACCCAGGGTCACAAACTCACATCAATCCAACCAAATAAATATATTAATATATATTTTTAATTTTATATATATATATATATATATATATATATATGCATATATGCATGCACAAAATTTCAGATATAAGAGGTTATGAATTTAACAATTTTCTTTTGATTTTCAACATTTTTATGGTCAGGTATGTTTGCTTGGAAAAGTAATTCTTTCAGGAATGGAGACATCTGAAAAAAATCTGGGGTGTAGATTTATATTTTGATAAGATTTGATAGCTGCAGACTAGAGAATTTTCCATCTAAATCACTTACTTTCTCTTTTAGTAAGTGTTTTTGTAAGTGGATAAAAGCATTGGTTGATGATCCAAAAAGTGACTTAACCCAAAAAGAGTTGTGAGATCAATCCCTGACCTCAGCAGAAACTTTACAAAGTGAATTAACTAAAACGGAGATATCCCAAGGTATGTGATGAGGAATCAGAATAATCTACCCCTACCCTCCACAGATTAAAAAGGTTTAATTCGAAATTTCAACAAATATTAGCTGAAGAAGGCCAGAAATGTCATGAATGTGACAAAGATGAGGACAGCAGTTCAAACAGGGTAAATAGTTACAAGACCTCATCTCAGAAATATAAACAGATAAAAATGATTCTCAAAAATAGAAGAGAATAAAATTCAAGATGTGAAGCAACATATTGTAAAAAATGTGAATGGAAATTATGATGAAATGTTAATAGTTTAAGATCACTTAAACTATTAACATTTCAGTTTTCATATCAACCATCATTAAAAATTTTCTTCAAATACTTGCCATTATTTTGGATTTTCTGCCTGTGAAGGACAACTGTTCTGCAACGAGGATCAAAATCTTCTTCATTCTTATGGTGTTTCAGACAGTAAAGTATTTCTGAAGCTTGATAATTACTGCAATAATGCTATGAAAAATATTGTAAAAATACATTTCTGAATATAAAATTCCATATAACCAAAATACAGTAAACTAAAATCAAGATTTTAAAATAAACTTCAAAGATAATATTAATGCAATGTTTCATACAAACTACAAAAATGAAAACGACTAGAATTTATAAATTCCTGTTAAACTTTGTTAAAGCAATTTGTATTAAGAAACAAAATCAAATCCAACATGCCTGGGTTAACCAAGTTAGTATAACAAAGGTGCCGATATAAAGCTCATTAGTAACTAACTCCTTTAAGATATGCTCATATTTAGGATAAAACTTCAAATTATATATCTTTTTTTTAAATTTAAAGTCTAGTAAAATTTTAAAAATATGTAAAACTAAAAACATTGCTTTATCCAACCTAGGTATTTGGATATGCTTTGTCATCAGTAAATAATAAAATATATCCAAATACATTAGTCATTTTTATAAGTTGAGCTCTATTTACATACTAAAACCCAAGGCTAAATGAATAAGATTGTGTTGAAGGATTTATGTCAGATAAAAAGTTGTAGAAACCACATGTGGATAATAACTACTCAATAAAGAGAATTTCTTTACTCTTTCTGCCAATCTGTCATGTTGTAAGATATCTTTTATAGATTTATAATGACCCCCCCCCCATTAGTTGATTATAACAAAATGTATTAGTACAAATAATTTTTTCCAGTTCATCATGGATTTATAAATAGAACACTTTGTAAATTGTATATTTTAATATTTAAAAAAGATTATAGTTTATCCATATAAAAATAATTTAAAAAATTTCAGAATGTAGTTTGTTCTTTATGAAAAAAAAAAATTCCTTCTTGGTATTATTTTCTGGCTGATTCTTTTACTTCAAATCTTATATTATGATGTATTTGTGCACTAGCAAATGTAACTTCATTATTAATGGCTAAAAGATTTTTTGATGACTGAAAAAAATACTTACTATTTTTATATCTATATTTTTTAAACTTTAATACAAAAGTAAATTAGTTTTCAAAAGGGGCTTAAAATATCAAAAATTTATGTGAAAATATTATTCAATAAACACATTTTAACCAGTATTTAAGGATTCAAAAAGCTTTTTTCATTTTACTCAATCAAAATAGAAATTTCAAATACTTACAAAATAAATAAGCTTACCTTAATCATTTTTTTGCAAATAGTTTTCAATGTGTAATCAACACTGTTATCTGCACTATCAATTTTCTATAAGAAAGAATAACATTTGTTAATACAAACACTTCAAATACAACAATTCTTGAACAATCTGAAATACGACATAAATATTAGATATTCACACTAATAATGAATAACTTAAAATATACATTATAGTTAAGATAATGAAAATATCTACACTTACCTCTCTTTTAAAAATAATTTTGTGACAGGATGGAGAAAGATGTGATTGATGCTCTTTTAAACATTCAATTATCTATTCAAATAGAAATAAATAAAAATATGAAACAAATATAAAAAAAATAAAGTACAATGAAGATAGTTGAAATAAGTACATTTAAAAGCAGCTCCTATATAAGAATCTCATGATTACCTGCGAGTTTCCTGGTGTTTTGTTTGCACAGAATTTCTCTTTATCTGATTTGCAAGCTTTCTTCAATTCAGGATCTAAATCAACACTTTCACTCTGAAACAACATCCAACAGAAAATAAAAATGAAAATTACAAATGACTAACAACTTTATATTTTGTCAGCCTTATAACTACTGAGATATGTTGGGCATACTACTTCTTTATTCAAATACATGCAATTTTATTCAGTAGCCCAAAGTAAAAATCAAGCATATTTTATAGTCAAATTTATAGCACTACTTAAATGGACTAGTAGCCCACTTGTAAAATATAGGGAAAAATGTTTTTGAAAATATTTTTTTTTTTTTTTAGATTAGCATTCATTTAGTCTCAGTAAATCATAAAAAGTCAAGGATAATTTTACACTATATTCATTATGAAAAAGACCTCACCTCCTAAAATGAAGAAAATTTTTTTTTTTTTTTTTCAATTTTGACAAATGTCACATCTTAAGGTCTAATGAATGCTAATCACCCAAAAAATTTTCCCAATTTTTTTACAGATGGACCAGATGGACTATTTATATAGTGTCATCAAATAGAAAAAACAAAACAGATAATGGACCATTTAAATTTTTTTTTCTTCTATTTTTGAAGCAATTTTTCAGCTATTTTCATTTCATATCCAAACTATTTTTAACTAATTACTTAAGGTCACTTGAACACATGATATTCTGCAGAGAACTTAAAATATATTTACAGTTCTATCAATAGAATTTGTCATATTATACAAATACAAAAGAAAAAGCCAGTAATTATAAATTTTAGATAAGTTTTAATCTGAAAAATTTGACTAAAAATGAAGAGCTAATCTTTTACGTACACGCTGTAAAAGTTCAACCCTTAGTTGCCGACGACAGTCTTTATCAATACGATGTTTATCTTCCAAGAGAGTATCATTGCGGACATGCTCACTTAGGCAGGTAACAACATCAGGCCTAAAGTGGAAAAAAAGTTTGCACACTTACAATTAGTCACTGACTAAAATAAAAAATAAAAACAATAGATATGTTTTTATACAGCAAAAATTCAAATAATTTAAAATAGGTTATTTACATTTTGGTCTTATGGAAAATTAACCAAATTTATATATTTGAGACTTATAAAAGTAAACCAGAGGAAAATGGTACATTAGGAGAGGTTGATTTTGGAAATGTTTATATAGTTGGGACATGATATAGCACACACGAATTATTTTGTTCCTATCATCTACTGCCATTTGAGGAATTTAATTCTAAAATTGAAATTTAACAATTCTTGCAGTATTATATGAAATAATTACCAATCAAAAAGAAAGGGAAGAAAGGAAGAAGGAGAAAGGAAAAGGAGAAGAGAAAGAAAAAAGTTCTTAAAAAACTTCAATGTTTTGGGGGTTTTTTTTTGCTGGATAAATCACAAATGGGAGGAAAAATATAAAAATTGTTACAGTTTACAGTATTAAATACAGTTTAGATGTTAAAATTACCAAGACTCCCAATTTTTTTATTAAATTTAAATTAAAAAAAAACTGTAAATTAAAAAAACACCATTAATTAATTAAAAGAGAAAATAATTTATTTAATTGAAAATGTATTTAAAATGTATTAATTACAAAATGGTAAATTCACATACATGATCATACATTATACAATCATATAACTCCTTTCCCAACAAAACTACTGCTGATAAAATATAGGATAATTAAAAACAAAGATAAAAAATAAAAAGTAATAAAAAGCTCAATATAAATATATGTAATAAAAGATCATAATAAAAACATTTAAATTGCTAAAAAAAAGCATTCATGTTTTAATACTTTGTACTTCAAGCAATGGTAAGAAGTACAATTAAAGTATTGAAACATGAAAGCTTTTGCATAGCAATTTAAATGATTTTATTATAATCTTTTATAATAAAAATAATATATTGCTCTTTGTATTGAGCACTTTTTTAAAAGTAAATGCTATGAACTGTGGAATTTTATTCCATCTGTTCTTTCTCTCATTTTTGTGTGTATATATGTATATATAAAATTAATAACGATTTTATTGATAGAATAAGTCCACATTAGTTTTTGAAACAAAACATGTCACTAGGAACTTTTTTCATTGTCATTCATTTACCCACTATAATGTGAGCATGATTTTAATGCCACTGGATTTTAAACGTACATTTCTATTATATATAAAAATGGCAATGTTTCAGATGAAAAGATTTATAAATTAAGTGAATGTGTAAAAATATAATCTATTGTATACTTACTTTGTTTTCTTATCTTTGCAAAATTTCATAACTGATTTTTTACATGATTCTTTGAATTTATATGTAAATCTGTAATCTTTTAGTTGGATCTGTAATTATATAAGACATATTTTAGTAGAGAAAAATTAAAAATGTTGACTTTATTTTCCAAAACATTGACAATTCAAAAAGTAATTTTCCTTTAAAAAAATAATTAGAACAATGTGCAAGTGCGATATTACATGAAATATTTTTCTCCAATTTCAATAACTAAAGATTAATTATGAGCATATTTTGTTCTGCAGGTGTTGGTTTATGGTGGCATTCAGAAATGTTTAAAACAATATTTACAATATTAATTGACTATTAAATAACTTTTATTGCTTGCAAAGTTGAACAAACTTCATAAATAAAAATATTTTCAGTTTGATAACTGCTTCCACAAGTTGTAAAAATATTAAAAATGAACTAATTTAAAAGTTTCAAATGTATATACATCTGAATTTTGTTTTGCTTTTTGGTAATTAGTACACAAAAAAATAAAATTAGAAAAAAAAACCTGAGGCTTAAGGCTACAACGTCATACTTTCTTAAAAGCATCCTTATTTCCTGCAAGTCATAAGTTCAATCTAGCTTGAGCATTGTATGAATACATCAGCTCAGTGTAGAAAGGAAGGTCATAATTGGAAAATGAAAAAGAGACAATTCTAGAAAGTTATGAGATAACAGCCGCCATCTGAATAGCTGAAACAAGACAAAAATACAAGTCTAAATGACGTCTGTGTAGCAAAAAGAAGTAATAAGTGGTTCCTGAACTTTTCATTATTTCTGTGATAAAATACTGAAAGTAATTGTTAGGTAATAGAGCTACTACTATACCATTATCACTGATGCTATAATCTTACTATGCATAAAAATGATCAAACTTTTGGAGTATGTGAATCAGATCTGTTATCAAAAGTTACTTACATGACCAGGACATGGCCATGTAATAATATTATCAGATGTGATGAAAGCACAAGTACAAATATAGTAAAACTGAAGTTAGATATTAATTGAAAATTAGTGTATTGAATTTTAAGACCTCAGACTAAAATGAGAGATGAATTCTAGTCTAAAATTATTTGCTACCTGGACTAAAATAAATCTTACGATCAAAGAGATACAACATATTCAGAACAAACATAATTTGACTACAAGGAATTGAAATAACCTTCCAAGAAGTATAACAATGCTTCAAACATGTGTATATGCACATATCAGTTAAAAAAAAAAAAAAAAAAAAAAAAAATGCTAAAATACATTTTTAAACTCAAACAAATTCATTTGAACCAGTTAATGGTGATAGAGAGGAAAAAAAATTTAACAGACACTATTCAGATTTGGTATTAATCAAAACATTCAGTTGGGCTGAGAGAAATTTAAATTTAGAAAAAAAAAAAAAAAAAAATTTACTAATTGGTACAAAGGTTGGGGAGGAAGCTCAGTAAGGAAAGACATGAGTGACAGGCGTCAGAAGACAGTCACCCAGCAACTACTTGCATCAAACAAAAAATAATTATAGGGATATGAAATTTAAGATCACTAAATCAACATGACAAGTGAGGAAACAAAAAAAAAACAAAAAAAAACAAGAAATAGATAAGCTAAATATATGAAATTAGGTGGGCAAATAATAGAGATTTCATATATGCAAGCAGAAAAAAAATTAGCTGGAGAGTAGGAGTAATAATAGACAAAGACATGAAGAAATACATTCAAGGACACTGTCAACCATCTGATAGAAATCCTCTAGTTAAGCTGAAAGGAAATCCATTTAATATAACCATTGTAATTGTATATGCATCAAAAGGAAGAAGGAAGAAGTCAACAAGTTTTATTGCACAATTGTTACATTAAAAGAAATTTTAGTGACATCAGTAAATGAGGTCATCCCAAGGTAAACCCGAAAAGAAAAGAAAAAAAAAAAAAAAAAAAGTGACTGACAGGTGAAATTCCCAACATGATGAAAAGGAGAAGGCAAACAATTCTAAGTTATGTCAGTTATGTGCCATGAGTGATACACGCTTAGATTTCGATATATGACTGACAAGGCAGATTTTTTCCCTGCAGTAGGTTGTCATTTCTTTCTGCAGTAGACCAGTTGTCATCCAAGGCTATAGAACCCAGTCTGTCCTGCTATTTACCCATATCTGGGGGAAGAAGAAGAGGAGGATTCATACCTTTCCTAAGAGTATTAGCATGTAAGTGAATGTAAAGGATTCAAGTGGAATTCGAACTTGGCTCTCAGATTCCTCAATCCGAGCCACTATCCATTACTCCACCATGCCTCATATGGTATGATACAGAATATAATACATTACACAAAGACATTAGAAACAAAAGCAGGCAAGCAAAAGAGATAATCAATGAAAGGTGTGCAGAGCTATAAAGAATGAGAATCATAGATAAGGTAAATATACATAAAAGAATAAGAGAACAACAGGACAAAAGATACACACATGATGCATAAAATCAAAAGTAAGAACACAAAGGATTACTGAGAATGAAAAATTTGGGTTGATTTGTTTTCTATGGCTTATCAACTCATTGCTGGTTATTTAGAGCCAGAAAATGTTTTTAGATTTTAAGAATTTTTTTTTTTGACTTAGTGATACGAGTTTTACTAAGAGGGGAGAAAAGGTGGATACATATTTTTCAGAAGAATAAGTGAATATAACAAACCCAACAGGAATTGGAATTCAGCTCTCCAATTCTGAGCCATTATCCATTACACCACCTGCACATCCAAGCTTACAGAACCTGGTATTCCCTAACCATCACCCATTGAGGTATTGACAAGGCTTGACATTGCTCAACTTTGGTGATCATACAGGAACCAATGTTTCAATGTGATATGACCATAAGCCGCTGAGAGCAAAAGAAAATTAGATTTGTTTTTTACGACTTAACCATTTGTAGGTTATTTGAGGTAAGAAAATATTTAGATTGTAATAATTCTATTGGATATAATAATGATTTACTGAAGAAAGTCCTAACACATACGTAGAAGAGGCAGATTCATACCTATCTGAAGGGTATTTGCACATAAGGAAATATAAACATGACTGGAATTGAACACTGCTCTCCAATTTCCAATTCTGAGCAGTTATCCATTAAACCACCCAAACATCCAAGCTTACAGCATTTGGTATTCTCAAGCAGTCATCCATCTAGGTACTGACCAACCTTGATGTTGCTCAACCAGTGATCGTATGAGAACTGATGCTTCAATATGACATGGTCGTAAGCCAAAAGGAAATGAAAAAACAGTGAGAATAAAGGACATTAAAAAAAAAAAAAAAAAAAAAAAAAAAAACGCAGGTTTCATGAAGACAGAAGATGACAATTGACATTGGATTAGGGTTTTTGAAAATCAGAGGTGGCAGAGAAGCCAGAAAAGAGTTCCACAGGTGAGAAGTAAAAGAGAATAGAACTTATGGTTATATCTAGCTATTTCAACAGTAAAATTACGAAACCTAGTTGCCAATCTAGTAGCACGCTTAAATTCATGAGGTTGAAGTACCAGGGATAAAAGCTCATTAGAAAAATTACCATGAAAATATAGAAAAGACACATGGAAGCCATGTCACAGCAGATTTGGATTTTGTTGATGGTTTTGAGTAGGTACCTTTAATAATTCGCTAAATTAGTATAGCATAATGATAAACGGTCCAAAACTTAATAAAAACAAAGTTTCATCATTAAAATGTTTATGTTATTATTAAAAGGAAAGAACAAAGTATTTTTTAAATATTTTTTTAAAATTGTTCTAAATTTCTAAATATTTTTTAAAATTTTTCTAAATTTGGGTCAAAAATCTTGTTTTGTTTTTTTTTAATTTTGTAAGACTAGTAGTGTAGCAGTTTCAGAGGAAACCCATTAATTTGTAAATTCTTGCAAAAGTCAATAATTGTCTAATTTAAATGAAACTTTCAGGACTTATTCAAAAATGAATTAATTTATTTTTGAAATTTTTATTTTTAGAAAATCTTCGTAAAAATATTTTTCTTTTTTACATCTGTTACCCTCCCATATATTAATTTTATGAAATTTTCTAGAATAAGGACATTAATATCTGAAGAAAAAATTTTTTTTTGATGAATAAAGAATTTTTACAAGAATTGTTTGCTTTTTCCTTTTAATTTTTTTTAAAGAAAAATGAAAAAAATGAAAAAATTAAAAGAAAAATGTAAAAATTCTTCATCCAAAAGATTTTTTTAAATTCTTTCATGCTGAGTGTGGGGTCAGTTATTAATTTTTTAAGTGAAGACAATATTTACTAAGTGAAAATTAAAAGCTTAATACAAATAACCAAAACTTTTTACCATAATTTTTTTTTTTTTTTTTGCGTCAAAATGTTATATTTTTTTTTTAATATGATGTCTCGTAAGTGACATTATGGTTAAAAGGTCATGTGTTTCAAAGCTTGTCTCCTCCTTAGGGAAAGCCCCTTGACATGTAAAGGTCTTATCTCACTCTCAATTATTAAATTAAAAATTAAATTGAGATAATAAAATTATCTCATTTATCAATTTAAACAATAACTCAGTGAGATTTTAATTATTAATATAATAATAATTTTATCAGTTATTATCTCAGTTATTAAATTAAAAATGTAATAACTTAATGTAATATTAATAATTAATAAAATTAGTTATTATCTTAGCTATTAAATAATGAAAGAGATAGAGGTAACTCAATAATGTAAGAAATTTTTATAGTATTTTAAATTATTATAAGAAACAAAACAAAAAAAAACATTATGTCACTTTTGATGCACCGTACTAAACCTGTCAATACATTCAGCCATCAAATTATCAATGGAGATGTGAAAATAACACGACCCTGAAGTCAAGAAAAGTTTGTCTAGAAAATTTTATGCTATAAGTGATTTTTGTTTCAGAACAGATTAATTTAATTTTAAATTTGCTAATTTTACGAAAGTAACGTTTCAGAAATGTATATCTTATTTTAGTAGGATTTTCAAAACTGAAAAATAAGTTTGTTTACATTTCTCTAAAAAAATTAAAAATGGCCGTTTCAATTGTTTTTTTTTTGGAAGTATCAA